AACACATTCAGGTCCATTATGACACCATAACGTCACCGAGTGGTGAAGGTGTGACACATGCTATCAAACTGAAGACACATAAAACTGGCAGAATACACATTATGAACATGAGCAAAAACTGCAATAGCTCATATGATCAAAGAGGAAGGGAGATAAGGGATGCCGCTGTACTATTTTACACAATTGCACTTTGAGGAAATCTGTGATAACACCATTTTCATTTCAGTTCAGTCCCATAAAATTACCATTAACATTACAACTCAAGCAGAACACAGATAAATGTAAAATGTCACCCAGTTCTGCCGGGCGGAGATTCCAGTTCCACAAGATTACCATCTGTCTGCTCCCTCCCAATGCACCTTGTCTAATATTTCATTTACAACATTTCATAAGTTCATTTTCCCCTCACTGACCATGTAAATCACAAATCAATTTTCATTTAAAATGCTTGACTACAGACTGTTGCTGAAAGCTCCTGAAATGCGCCGCGGCAAAATGACAGACCTTTAGCAAATTTTTTGGAAACTGGTGAGATGTAATTTCAACAAAACAATCCTGGGCCAAGTGGTCAAGACATTTTCCGGAAACATGCTACAAGTGTGAAAATACCAGGAAAACAAAAGGCTGGAACAATCTATAATATAAGCTTTTAGTTTTCCCCAACAGCAAGCTTCACTGCAGGATAGTAATTACAATTATAATAAATTTTATTTATATTGCACATTGCATTTCAAGGAAGCCTCAAAGTGCTCAGTCTAAAATACTGCTATTTACATGTATCACATACAATTTGAATATTTGTATTCACATTTTTAATCATTGTTGCATTACTGTTGCTTATAATAATAATAATAATAATGATGCAAATGTGTTGGACACTCACAGAGGCTTCATATAGTATTATTTATAAACTTGGTTCACAGTGGTGACAAACTACTACAATAGTCACAGCTGCACTGGGGCAGACTGACAGAAAAGATCTGAACCACAACCCTCAACACACGTTAAGTCCTTCAGAGCCTCAACAGTCCCTCTGTGCATCCTGGACCCCATCCCAGTACTGCCTTGATTGGTTAATGCTTAGTTAATGCATTAATCTAAAGTATTGATGAATTAAAAGAGTTCAGAGGCTTTGTACTGATCTGAAAGAATATATTTGTCTGTATAATTGAAATCACTGAGGCCTGCGGTCATGTGGCAGTGTAATGCGAGGGGTCTGTGTGCTTATAGCAGGTTTGCCAAAAGCTTTTGTCATTGTTTGCCAGCGAGGGCAAATGTCAGGGTTTGATGCGGAGGGGCAGACGCAGCCACATCTGATTAACAATATGATTGTCCTCCTCCGCAGAAACATAAAGACTCTCCCTTGGTTTTCTTCTCTTTCTATTTTGGTCCGTGGCACTGGGCTGTCCTGTGGCATGGCTGAGCCAGAGTGACACTGCCACCATCCACAGAGACACAACACAAGTCAAGAGCCAGAGGGTGGAAACAGCCCTATGCTGTCTCATTAGAACCAAACAATGAAGATCTATATATAATTACATATTTTAGCATATGTATATTTGTGTGCAATTACTTATATGTATTACTATATATGTAACTATAATCATAAACAAATCTTCACTTCAAAAGTGAAATATCAGGAGGTGAATATCTCTCACGTGTGTCTCCAAAGACGTCGGCGTAAAACCCACAAGAGACATGAGATCATGTGTGTGTACAGGAGACCCTGGGTGCAGGTTTGTATGTCGGGTTTGAACTCTCTCGGTGCTCGTCTGTGCATTATGTCTGCTGATTATTCTCCCTGCTGCTGAAGTGCCACAAAGGCAGTAACCCTCCGCATTTCCGAGCTGCTTATTGAAGACAAACAATAAACCAGAGGCATATATCAGTGGCAGAGATGAAAACCCAGTGCCGTATCTGCTGGGACTGCCTGGAACCTGTCTGTGGCTGCGCTTCATCTCCAGCAGCACCTCTCACTCTCAATTATTTGGCTGCTGTCACAACAAATCAATCAAATTACTGCTTCAGGACTGTGTGCAGCTGCTCCGATTGCACCGCTCGTCGCATTAGCTTTGAAATGTATGAGGTCTACATTTTATCACTCCTATTTATTTAATGCTGCTCTCCCCTCTTCGAGTCATCTTACAACCTCGCTAAAATTACATCATTATAAAACAACCACATCGATTGAAAACATGAAATGAAAATGAAACAACAATAATGAGAGGGAGAGGCCACTGTGACCCCGAGTGGCAGCTACAACATACTCTTTATTGCTATAAAACAATGAAGACCAAATATTTGACTCTATCATCTTGATCTGGCTGTGGAGGCGCAAGGCTTCTCCAGAGCCGACAGGGGTTAAGTCAGCGGGCCAACCCGGTGAGCTTACCTCTTAAAGGAGCAGCAGTCAGCTGAAGCAGAAGCGATAGAGTCTGACATGTCTAACTAGTGTGGAAACATTTGCCTCTTCCCCCAGGAGCCCACCCTTTGGTGCTGTAATGAGCACAGTGATTTCCCTAATGTGTACCATTCCAACAGCCGCAAACTGCGAACGACAACACTGAGCTCTTCCCTCAAACACAGACACCCCTTTGATTGGCACTGACAGCGGGCTCATTACCGCAGGTGAGTGGGAGCCGACCTTTATCAGGAAGCTTGAGTGCTGTTTTGTGTTTCCTGTGGACGAGTACAGAGGAACAATGTTTTCACCCCACCATTAGAAGTTGGCTCTCTGATGTGATGCACTGCTTGGCTTTCAGCTCACAGCAAAGAAGATGTGAACTGATTATTATAAAAGCGCAGCAGTAACCAGCTTCTGCATTACTCCGAGATACAGAGAGGACGAGTAGACACATGAGACTTTGTTCTGCCTCCTCCTCATGAGCATTACATGATAAGGGCTTTGATGCTATACAGACGCGTTTACAAAGAAGGTAATCATGTGCTGCTTGTTATACGCAGATACAAATAACAGAAACAATTTAAACAATGGGGGGCTTTTTGTCAACATCAGTCACACCCAATGAAACTTTAACATAGGAAATCACACATGATTTTATATTCATACCAAGCGTCACATTAATAGACCTCTAGCATGACCCAACCTACTTTTTGTCTCTGTGAAGTCAGCTAGAATTGTGTGCACTCTGTCACTAAAGATAACTTTCTCCCTTGTTTAGTTTCATTGGGAATTTGTTTTTACTGCATGTTTGTGGGCATAAATCATTCTGACAAATAACCAGTTACACTGGAGCCTGTGTTTACTGAGTCTGCCTCAAGATGCTGCTCAGTTTTATTTAAGCAACTGCTCCAACTTTACAGCACAACCCCATTACAGTGATAGTTATTCATCACAGTCGGCACAGTGCCCTGCTAAAGCACACAGCTCCTCTGTGATGTCAACAAGAGAGGAGCTTTGATTAGCAAGGCCAGAGATACATTCTTCTTTGTTTATGCAAAATTATCAGTGAAACAGAATAATCATGTCAATATCACACTCAACTACAATTTAAGCTAATGTTCATGTAGAAAAATGAATTACAGCATTCTCAGACCGCCGTGTGACAAACAGCCTTATTAGAGGCTCATTAGCCGCCTCATTACATTTAAACACAGCCACTGGCTTGGCCCCTCGTGCAGTCTCATTACACTTTCTCACACTTGTCTTATGTGTGATCTGACACTAATTAGCTGGCAGCGTGGTGCTTCTGAGGAGGAGGAGTGAGCTGACAGGGTTCCTTTATTTTATATGTGATTAATCGGGATGAGCCGGGGGCCAGTGGACCGCCGTACAGGGGTGCGGGGGCAGAGGCCAGAGCTGCGCTTGTCTGACAGAGGTGCTGTGCCAGCAGGCCTCATTCACTGGAGTTGTGATGAACTCAGACAGGGAAGCGTGGAGGAGCGCTGCGTGGCCAGAGGGGCCTGGACACAGTCAAGACATTTAGCTTCACTCCTGACTTGTGTCACTTTCTCTCCACAGAGGTCCCTTCAATGCATCCCCTTCAGATAAGAGGATGTGCGAACAGGCAGTCTGTCAGAACGCACACTTAAAAAAGATCTGCCACGGAGGCATTTCTCTGCACATTTCTCTCACTATCTGGAATAGAGCAGGATATCTGGAGCTGAACTCCCGAATGGTAGTGGGACAATGAGAATGATTGGGAGGGGAGAGTTATGTGTTTGTGGAGGGCTTCATCAGATGACTGAGGCCCACGGCTTGTCCCTGATGCAGCAGACGAGGACCTGCTGAAGTGAGAGTCAGACAGGCCTGCTGGGCCCATTAGCGCTCACTACTGACGGATACATTGAGGGGTTTCACTAGATAGAAGTGGGTTTATTAAAAGCTCTGCCCACAGCAATAGCTGCTGTTATTTATGCATGTTTGTGTCCATTAGGCTTCTACCTCTGCATTTCCTCACTCAGGGCATCTGTCCATCCCTTTCCACATGAGGGTACCTTCCCTGCACTTTGTGCAGCACTGGCATTATTGTAATCTTGATCCCAAAACACACTACTTTACATGTAGCCGGGCATCTTTTTACATTAGAGCGCTACTCTCATTTAAGATTTATGATGTACGGTTTCTCCATCTATCCCTCAATCTAATGGTATAAAAGAGACAATGTTTTAAACATTAAAATGAAAACCATTTACAACTATGATCAAAAGAGTACACTTGCACATTAAAGTTTAAAGAAGCCTCAATAGAGCTCTGTGGATAGACAGATGAGGTGGAAAGGAGATGAAAAGTAAAGTACAGGGCACTTTTATGCACACGAAAGAGGCCCAAAGTGCTTTTGCATTGCTCTGCAAAACGCTGACCTGTAATTAATATGGTTGTCCTTCGGGCAACGTGAAGATGGCAGCTTTTTGGGAGATAACTCCTTGGGGAATCTCACCTGTTCTAGAGCTTTGTAAAGTGTTTCAGAAAAACAACATAGATGCAACATACATTTACTCAGATTTCTGTAAATTGTAATGCTTAGTGTGACCAGTACCTTGCAGGTTTTGGAGTGGCAGGCTCATGATGCCTCCTGCGGCGGCAGCAGCCACCAGGCTCTGGATGTTGGCTGTGGGCAGAGACAGAACCAGGCCCTGCTGGCTGCCCAGGTGTCCGCCTGCGTTGAATGGGATAAGGATGGGCTGATTCATGCCTGGAGCTGCCCCAGACATTACACCACCTACTGCGTTGGCCAACTGCTGCGCCATCAAGAGTGACTGTGGACACAGAAATACATATTATGAAAAATACTGCAAAAATGAGGACAAAATGTAATATAGCTTGTGTAGGTACATGTAATCTCTAGCTGCTGGATTCAGATCTTCTGCAGCTCAGTGCTGAGTAGACATGAATGTTTGTAAAGAGTCATTTGGCTTTAGTAATGTGGACTTTCTTTGTGAATAAAACTAAATAAATAAAAACATAGCCTCATATCCCATATGCTTGTTTATTGAGCTCTGTTAGGCAGTGTGAGGAGTCTGTAAAACTTGATGCAGTTGGCAGAACCAAGTCCACCTACCTGCTATCACTTTGTATTATATTCATTAAATATGAGTTGTGTGATTCTGCTGACAACATCATATTGCCCCTTGTATTTGGAGCAGGGTAGTCAGATTAGGAAATGCAGAGTAAGGGTAAGTAGTGATTACAAATCCTAAAAGGATCAATAGTCTCAAACTCAAATGCAGTGAACAAAATTCCATTTCAATTACTCCAGTTTAATCAATGTATTTTAATGAATGCTTGTTCTTTAGCTGCAGAGATATGACAGAGATCAAATCTAATCTCAAAGAGGTGAAAATGTTTCACACATGAAGCGTGTTTCATCTCAGTGAACAACGCTCCTACAGGAAATATGGCGCTTTGGGAAAAATCAAGTGCTTCTTTGGCTTTTGATGAGGCATATAACATCAGTCATGTCTGTTCATGTACCCATTCATTCATATTAGTTAAAGTGGAACTGCTCCTGTCATACACAGAGGAGAGATATTTTATCAGAAGTATCGCTCTGAGATATTTTGCGTAGTGGATCTCGTCAAACAGATTTTCCGAAGAAGAGGATTTGGAAATACACCAACACATTTGTCATTGAAAGCTTTGAGTTTGAAGTAGGGTATTTTGTGCATTGACTTAAACTATGTGAATAACGAGAAAGACATTTCAAATCGGATTCAATCTGAAAACTTAAACAACGTTGTTTTTTTTGGCATGTCAAATAGAATTGGCAAGTAAAGAATCAAGTGGAACATGGTGAAGGTGCAGCGAAACGCGAAGGAATCCTTGCAAATAGAATTGTAAGGGGTGAAATAATGAAAGTACAACGTCAGCATGTGTTGTGTCTGAAGTAAAGCAACAAAAGTAAGCCTGACTGCACTATGTCCGCTCCTCTAAGACCTGAGTTCACGAGTCTTTAACTTGTCAGCTCTTTGCCTGTGTTTTGCATGGGTATGTCTGCTGCCTGCACTGGATGCGCGCAGGCGGGTGTGAAAACTGTGGCCACTTCCAAAGGCTCCGCACAGAGCACACAGGTGACAGGCGCGTCACTCTGATAACCCAGCAGAACACTTTCCCACACGCGCCCTGACACACAAACACTGCCGCTTCGGAGCCAAGAGGTCACGGAGGCGGCGATCTGTGCCTGCATTAAAAGACAAATACGTGTCTCTGCTTTCTTTACAGCACCATAGAAGACACGATGGTTCTGGGAGACATGGCGGCGCAGCGGTTTGAGCAAAAAAGTCCTGGATTTGGAGTTTGCATGTTCCTGTGTCTGCGTGGGTTTCCTCTGGGTGCTCCGATTTACCACTAAAGCATGTACAATAGGTATGAATGTAATGAGTGAGTGAATGGACGGGGATGCTTCCGTCATCAGCGTGTGTGGAGTGAATGGAAAAATATCTGAACTCTGAACATTGTAAAGCGCTTTGGTTGACCTTGGTCTGTAAAAATGCCTGTATGTAATAAATAACGATTACTTACTTACATTTTATAGGAATAATATTTAGAGCATTAAAAGCCATTTCATAATAACTCTCATTTTACTTGACTTTGGTTAAAATGTGTTAAATTATCACAATTAACTTCTACGTCAAAATATAAAAATCAATACATGGAAGAAACCCTTTAGTTTTTTAACGTAGGCCTCTTTTTCTACAAACTTTTTCAATTTAAATCTTATAGTCTGGCAGAGCTTTAAAACAACAAAAACAAATTGTGATCATTGTTAGCGGAGGATTCCTTTCTCAACATTTGCTTTGATACACAACAACAGCGCATAACAGATGACAATATCCAAAGCTTCTGAGAGCATTCAAAATGACATTTGCCATAAACTTTCAAAAAGGAATTAATAATGCGGGAGTCACTGAATCCTCAAAGGACAATAACAAAGGCGATCCGTTTGTTAGCTGCAAGTGACACATGTTTAATCTCGCTTTTTAAAGTAAATTTAATCTTGAATCGAAGCAGCAAATAATCAAAGACAGCCTTTGAACATTTCATCTTGGAGTCAAACAAAATGAGATTGCCAGGCTTGACAGCAAAGACAGCCTCACATGGAAGGGAATAGCATTAAAAGACAATTCCACAATTATCAGATGTAGCCCTGATTTATTTATTATCACAGGCAGTTCTGGACAAGCAGGCAGCTGTTAAGAGCAAAGCAGCAGCTGGGAGGAAGACTTTGTGTTTTACGCTCCTTTGGGCTGGGTGCTATTCCATTTTATTGAAGTAAAAAACTTAAATCTTTTATATGTAGAAGACACATGCACGGCCCAATCAGACACATTTAGCTAAGTATCCTGCAATAAGACTGTAGAACAATCGATTCTATCCTATTTGTGAATAATGCATTGATTGCCCAGAAAAATGATAAATTCTTTATTATACATATTTTTTTAGAAATCGTCTTCTCTTTTATTTTATGTTTGAGCAGTGTTTTATAAGACACTGTATGAAAGTCCTTCAAGGTCACTTATGTGTTATAGTTTAAAGTGAAGCTCCATTAAAACTAGGTTTACTCCGATAAGTGCAATTACTCAAACGTACGAGTTGGCCTCATTCCCAGATTAGCCGTTCACCTGTGTGGTTGGTCGCTGTTGTGCCTTTTACTTTTCTTGTGCACTTCTCAGTCACTGTAAAAGCAGCTTGGCAGGCCTGACAGCTGAGTGTTGAGAAGTGGTCTCCTAGGGGCCACACAACAGCATGGAGTGTGTGAGCGCTGGACTTGGGATAGGGAAGCAGACCCACTCAGGACTGGATATGGTACCAAGCATCTCTGCCCATCAGGGGAGAATAGGCCTTTCTATCTGCTTGGCAGCTCTGGCACTGAGAAATTGCCCATAATCACCAAGATAGCAGACTTTTGTCATCCTAACTGCGAGTGGGAAACAGAAGGAAGGTGGATTCATGTTGGGTAAACTACCATCGGATAATGGTTGTTCGAACAATATCCGGCTCTGGAGCGAGAATCTATCAAAACATATTGATCCTGGAACAAGAGAATTGGGTATGGCATGCGGAGCGCCTTTGTTTCTGAAAAGTGTTAGCTTCACAGAGACTGTACTGACAGCATTAATATATTAGATGGGGACTGTTGAGAGCCGCCTGCTGTGGCTCAGGCTTTAACTGCGGCTGAGACCAAAAGCCTTCTTTTTCTTGCTTTATTTCTTATCTCGACCAGTAGTACCCCTCTGACCAGATATCCACATTCACAAAAGGCCTTTTAATTAGGAGCATTTGTTATTTTTACACATATGACTTATAGTAGAAGGCTCTCTAGTGAGAGACAATGGCTCCCTCTTGGCAGTTCATCTTTGTTTATCCTGATGAAGCCTGACTTCCATGAGTGCATACAGAATGGCCTTATTACAGAGGCCGGGCCGACCTGCTGCTGTGCTGTGCAAGGGTTAAGCGGTGACATTGAGCAACACTAATGAGATGGATGTTCATTAAACACTGCCGAGCCACCGGCCCAATAAATCCAATCAGATAGGACAATGCCTGATTGAGCTATTAGGAGGCAGTGCTCAGGCTCTGCTCCCTGCTTGTTTTGACAAGGCCTGTATTGTCAGCTCATTAGTGCTAGGGCTCAATTACATGTGAAGATGATGTGCAACGACAAAATACTTTAGAGCACAAACATGCAGTGTGTAACTGGGATTTCAAAACATCATTATGAAGTCATCCTCATCCAAATCGAATGTTGTGTTGGTGCAGTCTATGGCAAACACTGCAAGTTTCATCTGCATCAATTGAATTAATTAAACACACAATAATTACAGTATTTTCTAAAAAGTACTAAAACATTCAGTACAATGTAAATTAATCAATTTTATACATCAAGAAATACAAGGGAAATGGACAATCAAGCCGCCATGTGTGACTTTGGACATTCAACCTGTACTTTTTGTCTAGAAAACTAAAAACGTATTACTGCAATATTCTGGCACAAGTGTATAGTAGATAATAATATAAGTAAATAAATTGTATTATATTTTTCATTTCACTATACTTATGTTATGCTTAATATTCACTTATCTTGTGTTGTGTTCTCCTCACTCCTAATGTCCTACTTGTGAAGCAACACTGAAATTTCCCCTCTGTGGGACAAATACAGAGTCTCCTCCACCTTGCTGGTTGTTCTTTTCTGGACATGTACACAGTATAACACACGTATTATTTACCATGAGACTTACCTGCGGTCCCATGGGGTACGCAGGGTGGGACAGGCCCATGTGGCACTGCTCCGAGGGGCTGCTGCTGGCGTCGGACTGCACTGATCCGTCCCGGGCGCCTGCAAAAGCAACAGGTGCATTTAGATTTCAAAAAGCAGGCACAAGGTGAGCTCACATAAAGCTGAATAAACAGTGACCGTGGCTGTGTGTCAGAGAAGCCATGTGGAGCGGAATAAAGCAGTTGGGAAGATGGGAATTTGAACTTAAGTGCTTTATCAATAACCGCCGTACCACTGAATAAATTACCAGGCAGCGCTGGGGCTCATTGATGGCATGATGCTCGCGCTGGCTGGATCCCCGATGGCCCAGATTACTGCTGAGAGATGGGGCCATATTATTCAGCCATTTACATCACTGAGTATCACTCATCTAAACCCACAGTCGCCTTTTATCCTGGGCCCACAGCTACGGGACACAATTAGACCTGTTTGAGCGAGGGCAGGGAGCAGCGTGGCAGACAGGGACATGATAATAAGCCGCTGATGGCTGCAGGGAAAATAAAGGACACCCACAATTGGATATCACAGCAATCACAATCTGGTAGAAACTGCGGCGCTCGAAAAGAAGGCAGAGACCTTCACCTTTTGACCTCAAAGATATCAAGATTGCATGACACCTCCCTATAAAATACATAATAATAATCTTTTAGTTTTTAAATTTGTGGTTTAAAAGGAGTTTGCCTTTGCTAAGATTAATTATAACAGATCTATGCTTCTTTTTTTAATGTAATTTCATAACAGAGAAACCCTATGATAAGTTTTACCTTATAATTGTCCATTTAAATCGGGCAGTACAAACGGTAATCGGTTCAGAATAATAAATAATAAAAAAAGACTAAGCCATTGAAGATAATACTACTATTTTTATTTGTACATATGTTTTTGATATACCCTTTGACATTAATAACTAATCTATTATATGTTTATTATTTAATTAAATTCGATCTATTCTTGTATAGGCCTAAATCACAACAGCAGTTATCTTGGAGGACTTAACAAAACCGTTGAATTCGCAGATCAGAAAACACAGATCAGAGAATCAAGCAGTTAATTCATGTATCTATCCATTTATCATCAAACCCAACTTTTGACACTTTTTTTATGAATTCTTTAAGTTATTTCCTTAGTGGATCATTCAAGTTTGTCTAAGTCTAAGTTTCCACACATGTGTTGCCTATTTGTATTCCTCCCAATGTAATATTTGCATATGACAATGGTTACAAGCTGAACACTGTAGAGCTGAACATTGCTAGAAATAATACAGCATTTGTGGGAAAAAAGGGAAATAAACGTGAAGTCCTGCTGCATTGTGCTCGAGCCTGAGATGAAAAGAGCTTGTTTGTTCCACATAGACTGTTGTTTCTAGCCCTTTCCATAAAAGCTCTCTGTTCAATAGCCTGACAGCCAGAGCTCATTCCCTGTCAAGAGTGTTTATGCAATACATTTAAAACCCCACTGCGCCAACTAAAATCATTTCATCTTTACATAAAATCCAAATAATTGGTGAATGGCATGACCCAACAAATGAACCTCAAACACTTGACGGTTGATGTGAAAGCCCACGGGGGGAGCCTGCTCTTGTGCGGCAGGTCTGTACCTTAGCCTGCGCCCGCTTTCGAGGACAGTCCACATCCTCGCACCCATCAGCCCCAAATGCACAGTATATTATGACAACACAGTCTCTTTTCACCCATTATTCCACCCATTATGCATTGCGCTGTGCATGACCAGTCTTTCACATCTATAGGAGATTTTCTTTTATAATAATCTACAGTTGTTGATGTGGATCTGAATTCTTAAATGTGGAGAACTTTGACGACCCTATAAGTCTGTGTAATTTGTCTGTGGGAAGCGAAAGCTACAAGTTTCAAGTATTTGCTGAAAATGTTTTGTCTTGTTGATATAATCCAATCTTCCTTTCTATGTGAGAGTCATCTAAAACTCTAATTAGCTAATTGAATTAGAAACTGGACAAATGAGACTTTATTACACAATAAAAACGCACAGCAGACAGTCAGCTCTGTGATGATAGCTCTTAAGATATTGCTTGTGAATAATGTATTTGATTTGATAAACAGTGGGGGACAAAGTGAATACCGATTCCTTGATGCTTTCATTGCATCATTTCAAAATAACTTAGAGAGGCTCCATCCTCTTGCAAATATGTGTAACGTTAACACATTTACCACCACAGAGCGGATCGATAATAAATAAATACACATGCACGTCCCCTCCCTGAGGATTGATGTAATTTCTTTAACTAAATTAAAGAGCTGACAGAAGAAATATCCAGGGAATAAATAGGCAATTATTTTTTATTACTGGAGGCTTTGTACACGTTTTACTTTTCTAAAAAATCTACTCATCCAATGCCAATGATTCTTAAACTGGTTTACAGATGGCGATATCTCGATCGAGCCTTTACTAAAAAGAAAGTGCTTTGATGCTGTGATTATACGCAGGTCACACAATGGATAAAATGGACTGAATGGATGTATTGATGTGAGGGGAGATGAAAGAGGTAGGCCAAACGCTTGAAAGAACAGGCGACGCACATTCAACATAGCTTTACATTTATCTAGGACATTCAAGCTTCAGCGCTTCTTTTTTATGAATTCCAAGCGGCAAAGCTTAGTATCACAAAAACTACCATTTCAACTGAAAGATATTGTAACAACTTCGGAATGTCTTGATTTTATTACTAGATTAAATAATAGAAAAGTTTTGTATTATGAGACTTTCAGGAAAAAACCTCTCTTCACCGCAGCTGGAATAATGATATGTATTACAGCTGGTGGGGTGCAATCTGACGTGGCTTATGTCATGGAAATATGTCCAATATCCAGCACTCTATAACTCTGCTTTCATTGATCACCAAAGTGGCCACTGGAGAGAGTCTGAAAGGCACACAAGGCCTGACCGTGGAGCGCGTATGGGCGGGTTTCAAAGACGCTAAGAGCTACATTTATTGGACTTGATCGGGCCGTCTTAATGCAGGCTGCCCGAAGGACTGCACCACAAAACAATTAGCCTGGATTTCATAAAGCTATCAGCACGCCACCTTGTCTAATGCAACCGCTTCATACATTGACAGTGTGAATAAAATGGGTGTTATTGAAAGCTTTGTGTTCGTGTTAGCTTTCGCCTGGGTGCATTTATGAATCAATTTCTGCCCATAAAAGAAGCTTTAACACTTAAGCTATTTTAGTGGAAATGCATTATGTAAGTTGTCAAATGTACAAGAGAGGCCTGGCAACGATTCAGGCTATTCACAATGAATAGCCAACTCCCATTTTTATAATGGTCCTTTTGAAAACGTCTGGCTGAGTGCATGTGTTTGCTGTTAACTTAGTGTCAATCATTTCAAAACTGACATCTAATCTATGTAGCCAGATTCCATGTGTGCTTGTATTTAAGGAGTTAGCATTAAGTTAATGGCATCATACATGTTCAGCAATATGTATATGTCAGTTCTCGTAATGTGATCAAAAGAGAAGGCTTTTTCAGTCAGGCAATGTTGTGCAGTTATTTCACAACACTTTATGAACTGGTTTTCATGTGCGAAAAAGTATAAGCGACATCATCCACAATGAACCATCAATGGCGTCCCATTTGTCCCAGATTGTTTGACCATTGATTGTGTTAATGCCACTAGAAAACTAGCAGTGGTAAGAGTTTTGAGCAATGATCGCTTCATAGAAAAATCAATTTTATTTATTGAATACATTTTATTGGTAAATGGTCAGTTACATTGCTTCATTGTAGTACATACTGTAGGTCAGCCATTCCCAAACTCAGTAACACCGAGGCCCCCTTAAAAATCTGACGGGTCTGCGTGGCCCCCCAAAATAATAACCAAGAAGACAACATTAAGAATAGGCTCTTCTGGTTATTTTATTTTGGGGAAGTAGCCTCTGCTACAAACATTGTAATACAAAAATGATTACAGTGGATTATTCAAGTCAAAGAATGAACACAAATATTTTAATATTACAAACAAAACATTATAAATTTAACATTAAATAATTATATATATATATATATATATTTTTTTTTTTTTACGACCTCCCGCGGCCCCCCTGCAGTACCCTCGCGGCCCACCAGGGGGCCGCGGACCCCACTTTGGGAGACACTGCAGTGGATTATTCAAGTCAAAGAATGAACACAAATATTTTAATATTACAAACAAAACATTATAAATTTAACATTAAATAATTATATATATATATATATATATTTTTTTTTTTTTTACGACCTCCCGCGGCCCCCCTGCAGTACCCTCGCGGCCCACCAGGGGGCCGCGGACCCCACTTTGGGAGACACTGCTGTAGGTTATTTCTGGTGGCTCTAAGTCCTTCAGCCTGAAAGTTAATACATTCAGAGAGATCACTAGTAAAAGTGGTTGATCATTTAAGACAGGAGTATAGACCTATATCTTGGGAGCTTCTAGTAAAATTTTGAAATGACAAATAATCAGAGGTTCTAGTATGAACAATTGTTTTATGAGCATCTAAGTGTTACTTTGCCTAGGATTGCCATATGGGATAAAAATAATGTCATATAAATGCTATGTAACTTATGCTTCACACTACCTCAAATACATGGAGCCATCAAACCAACCACCCAAAAGTCCCTCCCCAAAAACTAAACGGCTCTATCTCTGCAAAGTTACAGGGGATAAAAACTTTCCCCAAAGAGATTTTTAGTCCCTCAATGCAAACTAGATAGTATAGTTACTCGTGAGGTGGTAACTTCACACACTTTCCATAACCGTGTAGAATGCACACGAGACCGAAACCACAGGTGATTCATCCCAGTGTTTCATTACTCCCACCAAAGCCCTCTACAATAACGCCAAGCATAATCTGCCGCCAATAACTCCAGGTGCTCTTAGCGCAATGACTCCCACCGGGGCCATGTGCAAGCAATACTCTGTGTAGAGCCTGCGCTGGGAGGATGCGGAGCTCTGTCAATAGTATTTCTGGAGATAAAGAATCACCAGAGACTGTCGAGTAGCTGCTTGTACACCATTAGCTGCATAATGGGCCCTGTTGCTGCAA